CGAAAATAGTTTCCCACAGGAAATCCTCATGGAGTATAGATTACTCTAAGGATGTACACTGACACTGATTTTGGCACATAAAGCACAAGTCATTAATACACCAGTGACAAAAATATTGCAACAAGGTAAAACAATAAAGTTATAGGTGATGAGTACTACAGAAATGAAAGTCACCTCTGGGTTAAATCATGCACAGGTATTACATTAAACTCCTTTGATTTGTAGCTATCAGTGTTTACTGTGTTCTCTGAAGATGTGTAAAAACATTTTTGCATGGAATATATCTGCAAATGTAAATTGTATTGCCCATTATGAAAATGTGAGAGATAAGTTAGCAAAAATAAACAAAAATATTCAGAAATTTGTTTCCTAATGAATATATATATATATATGTCCCACTTGTTGCATCATATACTATAACATCGATGATACAGTAACATGCTATACAGTAAAGCAATAAAATACAAGTGATGTGGAGGACAATTAATTAGCAGCATTCAGGCTGAGTAACATTGTGAATCTCCTATAAAATCTGTACTCCCAAATTATGAACTAATTTTTTGCAAAGTGATATAACATAATTAAACGAAAAAAGTACACACAAACTGCTATGATATCCAGGTCTTAGATAAAGCAGTTATTTACACTATTGTTCTCCTCTCACACCAAATAATTATATAGAACAATTAAATAGAACAATTTAGTTGAGAGGAGAGTAGCAAAGCGGATATGGGTTGTATTGAATTAAAATAAAGAAAAATATAAGGAAAAGGTAGATTTGGAAGTATTGTAATTGGAAGTATTGTAAAAAAGGGAAGAAAAGTATGTGTTGTATTTAGAGGGGGTAAAAATACAGAGAACAACTAATGGAGAGATGAGCAATAAACAACAAGAAAAGTTAGGTGAAGCAAAGATAATGCAAGAGAACCCAAAAGAGTAAAATGAAATTAGAAAGAAAAATAACCTGGAAAATAACTGTGCCACTGTTTCCACAAAGTTGAAAGACACACAGACACCCATACCATTATTGTTCTGAAAACCCTGCAATCAGCAAGAAGTTATGTGTTTGGTTTTTTTTTAAACTGGAGAGGTGAAAGTGCAAGATGGGTGTTGACACACTTCAGCAAATGCAGCAGAGGGTGGGACATGTTGCCCAGAAAGGCTGCAGGATCCCCGTCCCCAGAGGTTTTGAGCACACAGCTTGGCAAAGCCCTCAGCACCCCAGCGTGTCAGCTCCCTTAATTCCCTACCAGCTGTAACTCTCTGTGTATCACAAGCGCTATCTCGCTCCTATTAATTAGCAGATGTACTTTTGTAACTGATGTGTGCCTTGACAAGAGATTTCCCTCCGGTCTACAAAAGGTGCATAGAACTGGTGAGAGTAAAACAACAGAATCAAACAGAAATGGTGAGGATGTCCATGGCTAGATGGCGTTGTTTGAAGGAAAAACAAACAAGGGAGGTGGAAAAGCAAGCGGTTGAAAAAATAACTATTTTTTCTTGTTACAGATGAATTAAACGCTCTAGTGATGTAATTTACTGAGTTTGATGATGCAGGATGTCTGTTAAAAGGAGTAAAATGTATACCATTTACATTCAAGGTAGCCTATTTTTTTTTTTTAACAAAAACTATTTCTTATTAGCTTTGCACTGTACATAATCTTAAAATTTTGACTTGTCTTTCCAATTCTTACATCTTTTATCTCCTGTCTGTGCTCATTCTTTCAACTCTCAGCTCTACCTCTTTTTTTTATTTTTTATTTTTTTATTTTTTCCTGTCTGGCTACAAAGCTGTTGTAAAAGACAAAACAGATAAAATAGCAGAATAATGAAAGTGGATGTCCCCTCTGGTGAGATCTAGAATTCCTCAGTGGAGAATATAAAACCTTCTTTCATTTTTGACACTTGAAAGCTTTCTTTAATGATGTCATTTCAGCCTAATTTTATACACCCAGCATGTTAGATGTCTTTTAAAAGTGTTCCCATCTTTTATTGTTTTTAGCAACCAATTAATCCCCAGCCCAACTAGTCCCAGTTGCTCAGCTGGGTACTGGAGGTTTGGCATAGCCTGCTGGGGTTACTCGCTTACCTATTGCCCCTTGCAGTCTTGAAACACAGATCAAGCCTAGATGTAGACATGTGCAGTAACAGTGGAAGAATCAGTGCAAAAAAAAAAAAAAAAGTATCTTTTTATCCCTTCATATAGTTACCTTACATAAACCTTTCTACTGCCAGGATGTTGTTTTCTCTAGAAAGAGAAGAAGCAATATTCACATAAGGAATTTTATAATTAGGAAACATTTCAACTACCAACTACTGCAACTGCAGAATAATACCTCTGCCAGATCTGATTGCATTTAATTATTTTCTGTCCTTTCAAAGCCACTAGATGATGTGACTCTCTTGACTGCACGAAGGTTGTACATAGCCAGCAGAGGTCAAGTCCCCAGCAGACATGTGTTACGTCAGTAGAGCCTATTGAAGTTAATAGAATTACTTTTATGTACTTTAAGTTTGAGCACATGGTTAAGCTCTGCATTTTCTTCTTCTGTATTGAGGTCACTTTGACTGTTTCAATCTATTTGTGTTTTCAATTTCCACTTTTTACTGAGGGCACTGTAGGCTGAGCAGGAATTCCACATTTTCGAGTGGCATACTGAGAAGCGATTTCCTGCCTAAAAGTTTTCCTCTTCATTGCATACTTTCTGGGATGCATCTTAGTTTGTTCTGATACAGAATTAAGACTTAACAGTAGTTCGGTTTCCAGCGGCCACTGGCAGAGGCCTGAACAGGCTTGTGTGAGCTCCCCCATCAGAACTGCAAACATCTGAACCTCTGCAGACCGCCTGGGACCAGGTGTCAGTCTGGCATTCTGCTACCTGCTCCATTTGGTTGGTTCCAGGGTGGGACACTTCTCTTTTCTCCCTCTTTTCCTCCTGAAACAGGAACAGTTCCAGGAGCAGGAGGTGGTTTCAGTGCAGATCAACAGCTGTTTCTCTTTCCCTTGTATTTTTAAATGTTTCTTATAATGCTGATCCCAGAGAGGAGCACAAGGTGAACATTCCTGTCTATTATTTTTTTTTTGGTCTCTTTTGCTGTGCATAAAAATAATCAGGTCTCTCAGTTTCTTTGGAACCTCTGAAAAGCTCCATCTCCTTTGTCCTTGCATATGCGAGTTTTGATCATAGGATGTGAATTAGGGGAACAGTTATCTTTATTATAGTGCAGAATTCTGTTACAACACAGCAATGACTGGACTAATTAAAACATGGATCATTCTTGCCTGGCATATATAATCACACCTCATCTTTCTGAACTGTAATTAAGTTTGGGGTCTTCTGTCATTTTTGGGAACATACTCCACTCTCATTTACATTACAAAACTGAACTGTGCTAGGGCACTACTGTGTTGGAACAAAGTTTACCAAAATAGTTGACTTAAAATGGGTTTGACTTCAAAGGATCTACAAATTTCTCTTCAAAAAGTGTTTGTGATGTTCTAATAAATCTAATAAAGATAACTGTATATCTCAATATTAGAAAATAAGTCTTCCTGGTCAGAAGATTCACTTAATGTGTTTGTATTAGATTATTTCAATGATTATCTCTAATTGTTTTAAGTGTCTAATGTTTCCTTTGCTATCAAGAATGGCCATTTCTAGATACAGGTCTAAATATCCTTCACTGGATAAAAGATATTAAACTGAACTACTATGAATTTTGAGTACTTGTTAAATAGTGCCTATAGTAAATCATATAAACAAGCACATCAACAGTACAGAAGCATTTTTTTCCTCTTTGTTTGAAGAGTTTAGTTATCACAGTAGTTGCTGCACCAAGATGTATTTCCCTGGCAAAATAGATTAAAATCAAAAAGGTGTAAGAAACCCACGAGTATATTGTCTTTCATTTTTCTCTCCAATCATGATGCTGGACAAAGGGAGCCTGTAGTTGCTTGCCTCATCCTCAGCTCGTTTGCCCAAGGCAACAAACCAGGGAAATTGCAGGTAACAATTTATCTAATCCTTATCATCAGTTAACTCTCTCTCTACCTGTCGCTCGGCATAATTTTATTAACAGAAACTTCACCCAGGTATGCTCGTAGCTTGGAAGCTCATAAGGGGGGATGCGACTCTCAGATAAAAGAGAAATGATGTGCGTTTTCTGTTTCAAATGCATGCTAGTGAATTTGAAAGTGAACGAGCTAGTGAAAGGTGACATTTTATCAATGATATTGTGGAAGCCATGCGAGAGGAACTCAGAGCAGTTTCACTATGTGATACGAATGGACAGGAGGAAAGACTCGGTGGTTAACGTACACGGGCTGTAAATTCGCATTAGAATTTCCTGCTGTGGAAGCGTGTGTTGGCACAGGATTTAATCAAAATCAACAAGACTGTGCTAACACAGCTTACTACACAAACAAGCTCTGATAAGTGAAAATAATGACTATCGAGATAGTTTTTATTAAATATAAATCAGTCAAACACCCACTTTATATATTATATTGCTCTATTATGTTATTGCAATAATAAATTACTTTTGTTTACTAGCTACTCAAATTACACATTTCAAAATGTACATACATCAGGAAGGAAATTTTCCTAACAGAAAAGTTGTGATCTCTTTTTTTTTTTTTTTTTTCAGTGGGATAGAACCAGAGGAAATCATCTCAATTTAAATTCACATTTAAAATAATGTCATCAGTTAATTAAAATGGCATTTACATTACGAAAATTCAGAAAGATTTTCTGAGAAAACATTATTTCATCTTTACCTTTTTCATTGTACTCAAAGTTAAATAGTGTAAATACTGATGAAGTAAAGGACTACTGAATTCACTTTAATTTTTTGTTTCACGCCCCAGCATTCAACTTTGAATTCATAACCAAGGCAGTGTCTAGGTTTAAAAAGAAAGAGTGAGAAGAGAAACCCAAATATTTTGTGTTAAACAAGATAGAAACATGTTTCAGTTACACTGAAAAAAAAAGTACTTTGACTCGTTTCTGTTTGCAATTTCTGTATTATTCAGTTGTTTAGATTTTACAAAAGAAAGAAGTATAAAATCTGAAAAGTAAGAGGAAAACATGGCAGTGCAATCATTACCACCTATTATTAAAAGATCATTTGCATTTTCTGCAAATGTAAGAGGTTTCTTATATTTATAAACAGGCATGAACATGCTTTTTGAAGAATAAGGAAGTTCAGATCTATTCTTCGTAACTCATGTTACACAACCTTTGAAATTAGCATACTGACTTTACAAGTACTGAGTAGTTCACAGGCATATTTTAAACTGTTTAATGGGGCAGCTCCAGACTGCTCGGTTTTGTTGCCCTCAGTGCAAAGTCTACAAACATAGTCCCTGGCCCAGCATCATGTTGTGTTTGTGGATATTCACTCACGTCTGACTTGATGTAGGACTGGGCTGTGATGCATCAGTTTGCCATGTTGAAGTGTCCTCCTCTCTTCTGCATAGATTTTCTCAAATATTTTTTTCAGATGACCAAGATCAGGAATGATTGACTTCCATTCCTGTCCTCTCAAGTGATGATTTTCATTCCCCCTTTAAGATCTGCAGCTCAAACTAGCCGTCTTCTTCCCCTCTTCAAGTGTGCCATTGGCACAGATGCCACTACTGACCCTCCGTGGAGCCACTACTCCTCCAGCAGCTACAACCCACCTCCTCCAGAGACCTAACTCTGCTCACTTTTACCCCGCTTACAGGCTCACTGAGGGATCTGTGGAGATGCTTCCTTTATGTTGGTTGGGGTGGTTGATAGCGATCACAATGCTATAGACAGGTGCTGAATGACCCAACAGTTTCCAGTGCGGTTCTAGCTTTTCTTTCATCCATTTATTTACTTATACAGTGTATTATTCATTTTCTTACTAATTTACATTTCCTATTATATCTCTAACAGGAACTCTCTAACCCGTCATTATTTTATCCTTGTGTTAAACAAACATTCATTTTACGATCACAGTAGAAACCTGTATTCTGTGCAGCCTACACATATTTTAAACACTATTTCTGGGCTTTTCCCATCTTCCTGCATAGGATGACAGAGAATGTTCACTGGGCCATGGATGCTCAAAAACACACAAATCATTAGTCTAATACTAAAGATGCATTTTTATGCTCATTATTTCAACAGAACATGTCTAGGCCTTCTAAGTATTGCTTTAGCTGGCAGCGTATACACCTCGCTACAGTCTTCTCCAAAAAAAAATAGATCAGGTTTTTTAGCCTGAGTGGTTTTCATCTAAGTACTAAAATGCTGCTTTTTAGTGAAATTTTCCTGCCACATTTGCCACCGCTGACTGCTTCTCTGAAAGATCACCATCCTTGACTTCCATCCTTCAGCCCTAGCAGTTCTGCTCTCACGTTCCTGGCCATTGTGCTGTTGGTTTTTGCGTAGAATTTTCCTCAGTTTCTCTCCTTCAGCGTCTCCTGTGAATTCTGTTCATGCTCACTCTACATAGTTGCTGCAAATCTAGTGTTGTCCTTGCACAATTTCATCCACTTACATAGACAGTTAAGTGTCTGCCTAGAGGCAGAAGTTAATTACTGTATTGTGTGTTACACAGATTAGCATTGTGTCTAAGCATCACTCCACTTCTAGGATGCTACCTGTTAGGAGATGTTTCTTGTGTGGTAACAACAGGCAAACTTAATACTTCAGGCTAAAACTCTGATCAACAATGTTATGAGCAAGAAAATAAAATGTATTTATATATATTTAATGTTATGCTTCTGTGCCAGCTAGCCTGTTACAGAAAGAAAAAGACATAGCCTATGTTTTGTTCCCTGCTTTCCTTAGATTTCATTGCAGTGTGTTAGACTGCTGCCAGCATCCAGGGAGCAGGATTATTATTCTTGTCATGTGGATATTTTCTTCCCTCTGCTGACTGAGAGCCACAAACTTGTCAGACAGAAAGTCTGATATATTTGTGCCTTTTTTCCTTTAAAATTCACCCATGGCAAACGTTACATGTACTCAACCAAGGAAAAACATCCTTCTTTATAAAGAAATTAGGTGTGCTCCCCAAACTGCATTTCTAATAGCCCATTTCCCATATATTATTCTAGCTCTGGCTGTGGGAATTGCATGCTTGCAGGCAGCTGTGGAAGAACTATTCATGTTTCATATCTACAAAGCTGAACGTTTTGTTCCTATTCAGGAACAGCAGGGAAGACCTAGCCTAAGATAGCTGGTAAATGACTTAAAATTTCACTTGACCTGGAGGATCAGTGATCTTTGGAATCCAGAATCACCACTATAAGAACTGAACACCAAATCATGCTCACGCTGAAGTCAGTGACAGAATTTCTTCCTGCTCCGGTGGAACCAATTGTACCAACAGCAATTGAGAAGAAACAAACACAAAAAGTAAAATAAGTTTTTTCTTACCAGAATTGGAAAATCTAAACACTTCTATTTTTAAGTTGAAGTTTTACTCCCATCTTTTATCTGTGTCATGGAGTTATATCTTACACAACTCTAATGTAGCAGCAATTAAGATTTTTATTATATGACTTTATAGCAAATAAAAAGATTATATGATTTTAACCATACTTAATCTGTATGTAAGTATTAGTCATTTAACGCAGAGATCTAAAGAACTTGCTACAATAAAAACAGCAATTTAGTTAAAGATTTGTGAATGGCGAGGTTCACCCAAGGCTTGCTGCAGGTTCCTGGGGGGTTCTATATCCAGTCGTGTGCTTCCCAAATCCCCCTTTAGAGTGAATTACTTACCTTATTGGAGTTTGTCCATGGATGAACTTGTTCCTGAAGGTGTCAGCCATGAGATGTGCTTCCTCGCAGGGGTACCCTGAGAGACATCCCAGCACAGAGGGGTGATCAAGGGCAAAGCCACTCAAAGAGTTCTTGCTTGGAATCACTATTTAAAGGATTGCAAAGTCATTGTGTTTTGGTGAGTAATTTTCCAGGACTCAGGTGTTTTGCCAGTTTGTTTGGGAATCAGGTTGCACAGTCCCCCTCTTTTGTACTTCAATGCGTCCTCATCAATGAGTCTCACCACAGGGACCAGGTTTGAGCAGAGGGGAGGCCTGACTGTCCGGTGCCTGTCCTGCATAAACCACAGGTGTCAAGGGGAGCGAGGCAGCGTCAGGCTTTGCCACAATCTGTAGATAACAGAGGAACGGTGTTGAGATGAATTTTCCTTTGATTACAGAGAAGAAAGCGATGAGGCGCCACCTTTATTAGATAAAGTGATTGACTTGTAGTCAAGCTCAGATTCCTTATCAGATTGTTTTCTGGACTCTGATTTGATTCATTACTTCCCATGAGAGATTTCATGGTAACGAGTGCTGCCTGCTCATTGTTAACGAGCTGTCCGGTTCAAGGAGCTATCACATTGAGGCCTACCATGGCTCTCAAGCCTGAACAAGACTTAGGCCAAGTACAGGAGCAGAGCATACCCACCACCATCTGGTCTTCTATTTTGGTGCTGGCTCAAATATCAGGCTTTGGTTTTTTTTTTATAAAGATATATATTTTCTTTATATATTTTCCAAAATGATGGCTGTTTTAGCTGCTTTTACAAATGCAACTGAAGAATGCATGCAAATGCCCTGGATGAGAAGCGAGTTTTCTCTCTCTCCCCTTCTGGTCCAATAAACGTTGATTTATAAAATGTGGAACAGATCCCACAGGACTTTAGAATATTCAGTAGCTTGGTAAATATGGCAATGATCTAGGATATGGGTTCAAATATCTACTGTACACCATATACACACACATGATTTAAACTAAGATCTCTTTTATGCCTCTTTATCTGTTGGCTTTTCTCTCATTTTCATTATCAAGTTGAGAAAACTGTGCTTGGGCTATGAGAGCATATCACCTGGCCAAAATGAAGAGATCACGTAAAGATACAGTAATGTACCCTTAGGAGCTGATCTAATCTGAATATTGAAATATGCTTTGTGAAGAGGAGGCTTATTCTGATTTGAACTGGTTAAAAGGCAAACTTTGAGTGTTCCCTCGCACCAGTAAGTGTGATAAGACAAAGGATTCTGCTGTGAGGAACTGCACAGTGACTTAAGATTAACATCAACACTGCAGATGCTGTTGGCTCATCAGAAAGGAGAACTTAATAAAATAGCAGGTATTCCTGTAACTGGTGAAGCTAGAATCATGTCTTCTTACAGATTTTTGCTTTATGCTGCTTTAAAAAGGAAAGTTTAAAAGAAAATGTAAAGTTTAAAAGCTTGGTCCTTTTTAAAAAATACTTCAGATATATCACCTCTAAAAGCAATATTTCATTTTATGTAAAGTATTTAAATTAAATTGTACCTCTTCTAAGTTCCAAGCCAAAGTGCACAGCGAGAGGGGGCATTTTGCACTTTTCTGTTTGTTTTACAGCACATTGTTACAGACTTTCTGTAAAGAGAGAGTATTTCACCAAAGACGGATTAGCTCCTTCCTGACATGACCTGATAGAAAATATCTCAAAACGCCGAGAAAAGACAACAATCTTTTCCTCTACTAATCTTCAAAAATTCCTTCAGTTAAACCGAGAGCATACTTTCTACTGGATAATTCAGTCTTTTCTGATATTTTGCCTTAACCATGACAATTGAGACTTGGTAGCTATACATGTCAATTATACATGTCAATGGTTCCCTGAGTGCGGTATCTTTAGGTAGTTTCTCAATAGACCTGCTTTATCTGATGTTGCCTCTTTCACTTTTAAGAATGGCAATGTTGTGTATCTTGTACACGATGATTCCAAATTCACAGTATCATTTCTTGTTGTTTTGTATCAGATTTCTTGATATTTTATTTTTTTTTTAAATTGTGCTTATTGAGCATTTTATATGTAGTTTATTGACTAAGAAAAAACACATGCTGGTGAAGTGATGAGGAATAATGCCTGGAAAAGTTCGTGTTTTTTCAATGTATTTCTGAAAACGGACAAAGCCTTAGTAATGCTGTGTTGTGCCTCACCTATCTTTGTTACAGGCCAACTACAAGAACATTATCACCAAAGACAAGCCTGCTCCTGACAGAGTGAGTCTTTCTATACGATTTAGCTCAAACGAAGTGCAGACTGATGAGTTTGTGCGCGTCCTTCTGTGAAGCTCTGAAGCACCTGCCAGCGCCTGTTTTGTCCCAGGGCTGCATCCTCTCGCCTGCGTGAGTTAGGGCCGGTACATCCACGTGTGGTGTAGCGTGGGCTAGCAGGATCTGTAGGGCTGCTGGCAGGCCTCATTTGTTTCCTTATTATGTTTGCTTATTCCCCTATGTTTACTTATTCAGGCTGCAGAAGTTTCTGTGTTTATGCAGACATGGAAAATAAATAAATAAATAATTTAACCTAAACGCTACCAGCAAGCCTGGCAGGTACCAGCTAGGCGAGGTCAGAAAGTGAAAGAGCACACAGGCTGAGGTGAGGGATGTGCAGTTTCTGAGAGGACCTGAACCCGTGCGAGGCGCGGGTCAGTGGCGGTGCAGGGGAATTTTGGAAAGGACAGCGCAGCGCGCCGGGACCACGCGCAGCATTGATCTCCCCACATCCCAGCGGGTGCTTTTCCTCCCGGCTCTGACTCCTCCGAGCCCCCGTATGCATTTCCTCCCCGCCGGGCCGGGCCGGGTTGGGCTCCCGGGGGCCCCGCAGGCCGCAGCCCGGACGCCGTCGCGTAGCAACGCGGCGGAGCTCCGGGCCCCGGCGGCAACCCGGAAGCAGAGGGGGCGCTGCTCCGCCCCGGGCCGGCCGGCACCGCGCCGCCGGGCCCCGAGCGCCCTCCCCGGGGGCACCGGGGGCGCCTCGCCCGTTAATGTCGCACCAAGCACCCCCCGCACACACAGAGGGCCCGGGCTGCGGCGCCTCGTCCCCGTGCATCCCCGTCCCCGTCCCCATCCCCACGCGAGCACCGCCGCTTCAGGCTCCTCCCGGCCGGCTCGCCCGCCGTGCCCGGTCCGGTGTCGGCGGCGGCGGCGGCGGGCGGAGGAGGGGGCTGCTGAGCGGCGGCTGGCGGAGCCAACGGGCGGTGGGAAGGGGGGCGGGCGCTGCGGGGGTGTCGTGCTGGAGCGAGGCGTGCCCCAGCCGCCAGGCACCCTGTGGAGCCGGGGAGCGACGTTTGCACGGCGCTGGTGGTGGTGGTGGTGGCGGCGGCGGGCGGCAGCAGCAGCGGGCAGCTCGGCGTCCCCTCCACCCCCCCCCGTGAGCCTGGGGAACCTGCAGCTCAAAGCCGCCGCCAGCCACAGCGCCATGTACCCCGGCAACAAGCGGAAAAAGCTCTGGCGGGAGGAGAAAGGTACTGCCGCCGCCACGGGCCGGGCCCCGCCGCCCCCCTCCGCCTCCCCACATGGCCGGGGGGCGCCCCCCGAGTCCCTGCCCCAGTCCCTGCCGCCCCCCGGGCTCTGCGGGACCCCCCCCCCCCCCCCCCCGGGGTTTTGGCAGGGCAGGAGCCGGACCCGGAGCCGGCCGGGCTCCAAAGGTGCCCGTCCCGCTTTAACCCGTGCTCTTCGTGTGGGGAGGGGGGAGAAAATAGGTGTGTTTTTTTTTTTTTTTTAATTTTTTCGGGATTTTTGGCCCCAACGCGATGCTCCGCCGGGCTACTTTGAGGTGCGGAGCCTGCGGGTTCTGGCGCGCCGCTGCGAAATGGGCCCCCCCCCCCCCAAAAAAAAAAGGAGCCTGCCCCCCTGCCTCCCCCCCCGGGCTCCCTCAGCCCGGCTCCTGCAAGCATGGGGCAGGCGCCTCCCGCTGACCTTGGTGTCCCCGTGGTGGTCACCCGGAGAGCAGCGGGACCCTTTCGGGAGAAATTCACGCAGCAGGAGTGTAAATATTTACATCGGCTATCTGAAGAGGCTTCAGGAAAACAAACCTTGCCGGGGGTGTTTACAAATAACCCAGAAACCTACAAGGGGGAGAGGAGGGAAAACTGAAACGCACCAGTGGGGTTGTTACAAGTTCTCTCTTTTCTCCTATGTTCCCTACGATTGCGTGTGTATTTCGAGGCAGGAAGGCAGACGACCGGTTCAAAGGATAGCATTCGTTCTCTTTGTGGAGAAATCCAGTAGGCATATGGAAGGAGAAAACCTGAGAGCCACAAGCAGGCTGATCGCTCTGTAGGTTAGCTGCTTCCATCAAACTCGCCCCTGAGGCAGGGAGTTACATCGTGTGTCCGTGTTTCTTTCAGAGCTGGCTTGCAATGTGCCTGTAGTCGAGGTGAGACAACAAATTTCTGCCAGATTTGAAAGTTTCTCTCTTCCAGAGCAGAGAAGATGGAGTTAAATCTTCTCGGGTGTCGCTTGTGTGCCATCAGCTGTAAGCAACTTCACCTGTGGAAGCCCTTCCTGCTGCCTGTTGTTGCCTTCCAAGGAAATGCTTTTATGCAGGGGGCAGCTGGGGGAAGGCACCTGGCCAGCCCTGGTGGGAGTTCCCACTGTTCCCCTGTTGCTTCCAGCTTTGTTGTTTGTGCAAGTTTGCAGCACGTGGACTCTAAACCCTAGGTGAGGAGGGTGCAGTACAGGGGCTGGAACAGGTGAGGTGCAGGCACGCCTTCATCTTGATGTGCTGTGAGGATGATGGTCTCATCAGAGCCACGATAACCACCATCTGTTGAGCAGGGTGACACTGGTGAACACAAGCTGAAGCTCGTGACTGCTGCTGAAGTTATTCTGGCCAGCGAAGCATATTTCTGAGCACTAGCTAGCCAGAACTTGGTGTCACTCTACGTAGTGAGAATTAACAGCATTTGCCAGTCTTCTGCTCCAGTAGCTGCTTCCCAGCATTACGTTTGTGGTGTTGGCCCAGGGTTTTTCAGGCGTGTGTGTGAAACTCTGGCACATTACTGCTGATGCTGGTCTTTAGCTTGTAGCCCTGTGTGATTATTCTTACTGAGCATTCTCTTTACTAGAGAGCAAAACTACAGAAGCACAACTTCTTTCCTTCCTATGCAGGTTGTCCTTGAAAAGAAATTTTATGCCAGGCCTGCCTCTGCTGTTCCTGCATACTTCCAGCTCCCCACAAAGCTGATTGCTCGTGCTGATTCTGCTCTTCCCTTGAAGCTTTGGGTGTGATCATTTTGAACCTTTTATGTTTTGAAGAAGTTCCTATTCTCAAAAAGTGCAAACTGCTAAATACTAAGTTCAAACCCACTTGCTTTCCTTAATTACTTCTTAGTAATTGAGGATTAGTTCAATTTCTCACAGGGTAGATCTTTCCTGTGGTCCAGCGAAACAGTAGGAGCAGGACTGTCATTGATTTTGGAGTCTTTATGGTATGCGACTGGTCTGCCCATGAGCTTCCAAAGCACTTCAACAGGTGACATGCAGAAAACAGTCTTTGCAGCTAAAGATGTTGGAGGCATCTTCTGGGAGGTCTGTGTGCAATTTAAACTCACTTTAAAGTCTCACTAGTGACTTGGAAGGGCAAAGCTTCGTACACCCTTCTTCTAGAATTGTGTTTTGGAAGGTGGGGAGCTGCCTCAAACTTCTTCAGCAAAAGGCAGTCAAACTTTCAGTGTTAGTTGGTCCCTCCAGCCTGATGCACCCAAATGTGCTCTCTCTTTGTCTCGTGTTCATGTTTGTCTTCTGTAGTACTTTTAACAGGCACATTAAGTATCTTGTATGTTTGAAGATGAAGCACTAGAGTTAAGTGTGTATCCATAATGTATAATGAAGATTCTAATCACATTTTACTTTCATATTTGTAACTATCCAATTAAGATACACAGCCTTAATAAGGGGAGAGAAGTGGTGTTTTTGACAGTACAATTTCTTCTTCAGTTGACAAAAAACATCAAAAAATATATATCTTTTGATAAGAGTCTGTGCTCAAAACTTACCTTTGGTATTTTAGGCTGTACTGACTATACTCTGCATCATTAGGAAACTTACATTATAATAGGGTTTTTGCAAAATAAGCTATTTTCTTGAAAGGTTTGACCTAAGAAGCAGTTTGTTGAACTCATTTACTGTTCCTTCAACTTGATCTGAATATTAGCATCTCTTTTTAGGTCCATCTAGTCCTTTATGCCAAAGGCAAAAAATATGGATCTTCCTTGCCCACATAGCTCTTAAACTCTTTTTGATCATCAAAGAGTATTTATTCCTGATTAATGTGTCAAGAAAATCTATTAGTATGGTAATAGTAGTTCAGTGCCACTGGTAAAATGCACCCAGAAACTTGATTAGCTCATGGAAGCCTTGACATGGTCTGTTCTTTTTATTCCTTATGCAAGGACACATTTTGTACAAAACTAACACTGAGCATTAAAAGCATATTTCACTTCTGAGTGAAGTCATCCTGCTTGATGGGGTAGGGAAGGAGAAGAGAATGCAGCTACGAGAATCTGGTGCTGGGTCAGGGCCAGTGGGGTGTTTTTTCCTCACCTCAGAACCTACTGCATTTATAGGCAAGTCTGAAGACAAGTGAAGTTGGCACTAGCTGTCAAAATTGTACAGCCCATGCAGTTGTACTTTTTGCTAAATGCCTTTTTTTTTTTTAAAAAAAAAAAAAAAAAAGGACATGGTTACTGTTTCTCAGATTAAAAAACAAAACTAAACAAAAAAAAATCCATGTGTACTTCCGTGGGGTAATCAAGCATGTTATACTGATGTTCAAGTACAAAACTATAAGCCTTAGCCTGAGCTCTTGAATTTAAACCCAGCTTCTGCTTTACAGCACTTGAAATGGTCCTTGAATCGTGCTGGTCCTGGGCTGCTCTTTAGTTACCTGGGCAGCCAGCGGAAGGCAGTGGGCTTCCCTAGTGCTCGGGCTTGTGTTCCACCAGTTTGGCAGTCACATTTACAGACTTGTAGTACTTTTTCTTGGGTAACGAACTGTTAGCTTAGTATTTTCAGTAGCTGCTGATTTTGGCCCAAATCGGGATGAAATGCTACTGGATGTGTTTTAAGCAAATGATAGTAGATTTTGCATGCTGGAAGTTGCATTGTTCGCAGAACAAAACAACCAAACAAAAATGCCTCTTACTTTTTATGACTCCAACCATCAAGAAAGTGACATAAGATTTGACTTTTGCTGACTTCTTTTTGTAATATGTTGGCACTCTGTTAATTTTGTACTATTCTTCCTTTCATTCTTTGCTGGCATACATAAACTTGTTTCAGGAGATAAATGCATCAGTTTTGATGTTCAAGATGTTTTTCTAAATTACATCTGTTTTATGAATACAGAACCTAATGAATGCATTATAATGCCTGGAAATTCTATAAAACAACAATTCCCTACTTAATGAAGCTGCTGTTGGATCTCTGATCTTGAGTTTAAGTGACTGGAAGACGAGGTGCTGTAGTGATGAGGGAAGGAAATCTGGACAGTTGAGAGAGCAGTGAAGCGGCATTTTTTTGCTGAACTGGGATATCCAGAAATAGGTGCAGGCGGTTGTTTAAATGCACTATGTTCAGCTCCTATTATTTGTAACTCATCAAATCACCCATGCTTGTTTCTTTCAAACTGTATTTAATTGCTTCAAGGACATGGAATTGGTCACTACTTGGCCAATGTACAAGAATATATGAAAGCTTGCAAAACTTTTTTTTTTTCCCTTTCCCCTAAACAGAGCGTTTGCTGAAGATGACCTTGGAGGAAAGACGCAAAGAGTACTCGAGGGAGTATGTTGCATTGAAAGATATTCCAACATGGATGGAAGAAATGAAAAGTAAGAATGAAAGTGATGGTAAGTAAAATGGGGGAGTCTTTTTAAATAGAGACTGTTCTGCTTGCTTAGCCTGAAGTTACTGTTAAGAGAGCCAGGACTTAGAAACCCTGTTACTGCTAAAAGTGGCAGCCCTATGTGGGGGCAGGAGTGCTTCATTGAGAGAGGTGGGGGGTGGAAAACACCAAAATACCTTAAAGCCTTGCTGGCATCCACTAATTTTGCAAGTACATGCAGACAGTCATAACAACACTGATAGCCTTAAGTATACGAATTAGTTATTCTCTGCCTCAGTTCTTAGTTTCTAGATAAGATATTTTCTAGATATTCCAGTGATCAGCCATGCGTAATCCTCTTTTGTCTTTAAAATTTAGCAGGCATCATGGAGTGGGGAATCTGGGCAAAATGGTGGTGTTCTCGTAGGTAGCTGAAAACAGCATTTGTTCCTGATGATCCAACATGTTTGCTTGGGCTGAGGTGCACCAGCCTGGCATGCATGAACCCCTCTTCTCTTAGTGTGTGCAGCATTATCAGGATGGCCAGTAGAGTTGTCCAAATACTTGCAGTGAACGCTGTCCAGAAATGTGAGTCTGATTTAATAACATAGATCAAGTAATTGAGGTTTAGATGGATGAGAATTTAATTCTGTTACAGTGCCTCATTCTTTTTCTAGTTCTCCTTCATTCATGTGTGTGTGAATAGGAGGGAATTCTTTGGTGTGATTTCCTTTGTTTTATTTCTGTGTCTTGGCTTAATTTTGATTCTTGCAATCTAAGTATGCAATGTGAAGTGCTCACAATTGCAGTTTTCTTACTGCTGCAGATACAGGAGTAGGTTTCTGGCCCTTTTGTTACCGTTAGGGGCTAATACTTACTAGTATGAACAAGAGTATAGGGTGATCTTGTGACCATGGCTGACCATAGTCTTTATGATAATATTCAGTGTAAGATTGTAGTACTTCCTTTACAGTCTCGAGGGGCTAACAGAGTTGCAGATACCAATGTCATAAGCAGATAATGCTTTCATCTCTTCCTAAAAGCCTCCTTAATGACTTTTGAAGTGAAAATATATATCAGAAGTTGCTGAGCTTTTAAACTCTGACATAGCTTTATTACAACAGTACTCACAGACCTCTTTCTCCCATTACAGTAGGTCTTTGATATCTTGTAAAGAAGCTTGTCCATCTAGAAAACAAGGGCTGCATAATAATCAAAAGATTACCTGACTTCTCCAAAGTTTGTTTAGGAGGTCTTTGACATATGAGAATATGCAGTCTGTCATGTAGTTTAACTGGGAAATTCTTTATCCTTCTTAGCCTGAGCTATGCTTTTATTCTGACAACTCTCAAACTCAGTATGAGCTGCTGAAATTCACAAATCTCCTGCTACATGTCCTGCTGAACCTGACAAGGTGTGGATTTATGTTGCGATTGCTGTTACACCTCACATAAGCAAAATGTCAGTGTCTAATATGTGGGTATTGGATCATGGCAGTAGTGAATTTATTCCGTTGTAGATGTTCTTGCAATCCCTGCTAGTACCCAGTGCTCTGCAAAAATGCTGGAAGGCAGAAGTTGTTCAGAAACACTTTCTTCTCTGCTATTCAAGGCTTTTGTTAGACTGCACATTCAGGAGAAAATATCCTTAGTTTTCTAGATTTATTGTAAATAAGCCATGTGGAATAGTGACCTTGTAGAAGGTTAGAATACAGAAATAATTCCACATTTCAACTGATCAGTGCAATTAAAAGAAATCTGTGTTAGTGTAACTTTTACCGCATCTGTTTCAAACTTTTGTTTCCCTTAAATGTTGACTCCACTCTGAAGGCATCAAGAGTATACGAAGGGATGAAGCTCCAGGTGTGCTGAAGTCTGTGATGACTTGAGAATTCCCTGCTCAAATCCTGCTATTTTCTTCAAATGAAAGGCTACTTCTTCTTGCAGTGACAAACTAGAGAGGTCTGAAGGAGGAAAAAAAAAATCTGTACGCTTGACAAGCCAAGACAGCAACTGATGAGGAATGTGGAAAAAGCTTTCTACCATTTACTTCAAACACTGTATACTGTGAATAAATGACAGATTGATTAGTAAAGTGTGGAGTAGCTGTTCAGGAAGAGTGATGAGGACAAGTCAAGAAAGGAACCAAGAACAAATAAATGGAAGCAGGTGTGATCAATCTTCTGCTGGAGTAAGAAGCTGTAGGAGAAGGGGAGAGCCTCTGGGCCAGGCATAATGCCCACAGATGCACCAGGCTGGAAACAAAAGGCATTCAGTACTACACAAATGTTTGTACTGACTTAGGAAAACCATCTTGTGAACAATACAAAGACTTTATGGTACCAGTTTTTAAACGTGAATGGCTTGCTGGAAGGTGTTATGAGATTAGTTTGGCACCCGCTCTGCAATGGAAGTTTAACAGGACATTATTAAAGCCTTTGGAACTGCTGAAGCTGAAAGGATTGAAAAGCTTCCTGTTGGGAAGGAACCAGCCTCTGACTGTTCTCATACCTCTGTCTGGTCTTTAACAGGAAGTTTGGAGAATATACCTTAGTTGTAGAGGGAAGTTTCTTCCCCTGCTCCTCCTTCACTCTCTGGTGTGAAGTGGTATTCAGAACCAAATTGCAAACCATACCTGTAAAGCTTTGAACAAGTTGATCTTAAAGTGAGTTATAAAAAGGCTGGAAATCTTAACAAGTGTGGGATGTGTAACAACAAAGGATTCTGGGGAATGAAATAAGGGAAATCTCAACGGCAACTGACAATTCCTTTGTCTTTAGTGATTTATTTTTTTTACAGCAGCAAATGTGTGAGAATGATGAGGTTGAAAGGAGCTGTGTATAGTTCAGCCTCAGTTTTACTCCTTTGCAACTGAAACAAAATCCTGCAGTTTTATAAGTCATCTTACATGGATGTGGGTCTTGACGTGCCTTAAGAGCTGAAATTGGTTTGTGTTTTCACATGGAATTTGGCCGATACTTCTGATGCTTTTCGCTGTGAGTGGGGCAAGGAGTGATGTGGAATGGAAGCACGTGAGCTTGGTACCCACTGCTGTGAACGGAGAGAAGCAAACTGACACAGGCATGTGTTTTTCTGGGAGGTCTATGGTGTCAGCATCCCTGGGGTTTGAGAAACAACTTGCCAGACTGTGAAAGCGGACCTCAGAGATCAAGTACCATAATACTGTCCATTCTCCTTGCGCTGCTGTTATTTAGGAGCGGTCCTTTTTAGTCTCAGAGGAGATAGTAGTAAGGGAAAGAATCTCTTTATGTCTACAAAACTTCCTCAGGAGTAAAACTTTTGTTTTAACCACTGAGAATATGAGGAACTGTCCACTGCAGGGACTAAGAACGACCCTGTCATACAGGGAGAGGTAGTATGTCAGCACTGAAACCCATCCTTTCTCCCATACCTCATCCTTTGGCTGTACTTGAAGGCAGGCACTTCTCATCTGTTTGGTTACATACTTTGAAGAACAAGTCCTTCCTGACAACTTACAAATAATGGACTTTTTTTCTGAAGTACTGGATTTTCTATACTTCTGTTTCAATGCTGTTTTATATATATACAACCTTATACTAGACACTTATCCTGTACAGAAATGGTAATTTGTGTGTTGTTATGCTTGGTGAATAAAGAAATGATGTAGAAGAATAACTAGTGATGTGTTTTGTTTTTTTTTTGAGCTAAAAGTACTATCTTTTTCGTGAATACACAGTTATTCCTGAAGATGTCTTTAGGTTTCAGCAGGGAAACTTGGGAAAAGGCTTCTTCTTTCAAAGAACTTTTCTTTGAAAGCTTTTCTAAAAATCAGTGTTTGGGGAGTTGTGTTGCTGTTGATGTTTGTTTATCAGTAATAGATAAATGCTTTATATTAATGTAGTAATTCTAACAACAGAATTCAAATTTAACTCCAACATTTTATAATCCTGCTGTGGGCTATCGTAGTTCTCAGGTTTTGTTGGTACAAAGAAAACAGCAAATTCAGGTGATGGTTTAAAGGTGTTCGCTAGTGGTAAGAACTACTTTCGATTCCTTTAAAAGGAAGGATACAGCAACTTGTGGGACTTAAGTTGTTTTTATTTAAATGGTATGAAGGGTCTGCAGTCTCTTTTGTTTTAGCAAGTTTTGAAATACGTAGATGTTCTAGCTGCCTTTGAATTTTCTTAGTCTCTTACTTTTAGAAAATGATATGGTTGAATGTGTTCAAATAATCTACTTGAATGCCAAAGGTTTTATGTATAATAGTAAGGTTTGGGTTTAATACCAGTATCTTTGTACTAGAAATCTGTAGACATCTGAATAGTCACTGGGTTGACACAAGAGTATAGAGACAAAGCAGCTGTATAAGCCACTCAGTGCTTAATGCTAAAAAGAAAGTTTATGATAATATTGAGCTTTATTGACCAGCATTTCTTGAGATTGTTAACTAACCACCAATAATACTGGCTACTTCAGAGCTTCTCCTGTTAGTGATGTGAGTGTCTCTCCTGCAGGAATCATGAATCAAGGTGGTGATTGTTCTTTTACCCGTCTCTATCTTGTTTTGCTTTTTTCTTTAAAAAGAAAAAAAAACACACAGCCACTTCAGAAAGTAAGCTGCTACCCAGCTACAGGTGAAAATCAGTCAGAAACGTACAAGTAAGAAACAGGGTCTTGTTAAACTGCTGTTACCTCTAGTGGGTCATACAGAAGAAGTAATTACGTTCTACAAGAACATTAAAACTTTCAGAAGTTACTTGCTAATGATGGGGTTCTCTCAGTCTGTAATAGCTCTGCAAAATCACGCTTCCAAGATCACATACTACCAACAAAGCAAGTCCATCAGCTTGCATTATCTTCTTCCTTTTAGTGACTTGAACAACTGTCTTTAAAACAGATTTCTACCTGAGTGACAAGGATGAAAGAAAATTGAGACATTTAGCTCTGCGTGATGCTTGCTGTCTGTCAGTCAATGAAAATTGTGCTTTTGCTGCTGGCTCTGTTTGGTTAAGTTAGTAGCACAAGAACTTTTCGGCCGAGCTAG